TCACAAATGGCATCCTTGCATTATTTCTGCTGGCACAGAGCTGAAGAGGCTGGTTAGGTAAAAAAAATCATAGTACTCTTTCTGAAGGGAAGTAACACAGCAGTAAATCACAAGCAGCCTTCAGTAATGAGGGTCATATTTTTGTAGCCACAGGCACTACTGCACAGGAGTGAAGCTTTTTGCTTACAGCAGTGCTAGAATACTAGCACAGAAGGATGCTGATGGAGAAAGAGCATCCAGCAGCTACGAAAGCTGTACTGCAAGGTTATAGACATTGCTCCTACTGTGTATGGCACTATAAAGCTTCTGTATCATATAAAAGTGTGCAGAAGAAAACAGTAATTTTCTTTACTGAGGTGCTGAAAAGACTCTCATGAATACCCTGCGCAAGAGTAAAGTTAGGAAGCATAACAGTTGTTAAAGATCAGCTCACTTTATGGTAGGTAAAGGAAGATCAGTGCTTGAGCAATTGGTAAAAAAAGTTTAACAGTCTTTTAAAGTACAGCCTGGAAAGATCTTGGAAATAAATGACACTTTGTGCTAATCCCGCCTGGCACTGCTCATTCTTTTCCCAATTCCATGTGCTTTTGAAGAGCTCTTCGCACACAATGGGCATCGGGCCTCCGTTTGCATCGCATTGATCATCACATGGCTCTGCCCTGAGCCAGTCCGACTGTACACCAGCAGAGCAGTGTTATAACCTCTCCAGGCATTCTTCAGCACTCCTTGACCACGACCACAAAAGACCTGTCTCTAAAAAATTATCAAACTCATCTTCTTCATAGGTGAGCAAGCACATGCATACACAATTACCGCTGCTCAGTAGGAATGCCCCCACTAAGAGTTTAATTGTGAATCAAGATTTGCAAACACACTTGAAAGTAATGTTGAGTTACAAGATGACAGAAATGTAGATAAAATGTAGATAATACTTCAAACCAGTAAACTGCTAAATGCTAGTAATTTGTATTACACTTACATGAATAACAGGAGATAAACTGATCATTCTACAACTGTGTATTACTAAAACTGCTTTTACTTGGTTCTTTGAATAAAATCTTTCCTGGCCTGTGTAACAGTTGGATCCTGCCAAAATGAGCATACAATTCTTGTCCTTTAAGAAGCCACTATGAGATGAACAGGCCAGATGAAAAGTAAATGTTTTCCTGTGTCCTGGATTCCCAGAGTCATATATGCTTGTGCTGTTGGTGTTTACAAAAATCACAAACCTACTTCCTGCATCCTTCTGTCTTCGTGTATTAAAACTACTATTGTAGTATCAAAACAAAAGCAATCAGTCATTCACTAATAACTCACGTTTTAGTCTGGATTTAAATCAAGTCCAGCAGCACTGCACGCCACACTAATGACTGCTGTGGGATAAGCCTGCTCTTGAACCAGGCGGTACACAGCCAAGAAGCAAGTGACCTAAATGAACAGACACATCAGTAACCATAACTTGCATTTTTTCCTCTCTACCTCACATATTGGTCGTCCACACAGCATAGTGCATTGGAAAATGCATTTTATTTTAGGAACAGCTTTAATTCAAAAGGAACCACAGTACACTTATCTGCAAGCATATCAAAGAGTCATTATCTGGACTATCATTCCTGCAACGAAAACCTGGAAGTTTTGCATGGAAAACAAAAGTACAAACAAAAGAAACAAATGCTATCTTATCAATTGAAACTCTAGTGTTTCATAATATTTTCAGATTGCCCTAGGCTAATGGCTTGCAAGTATTGCCTAACAACTCAAGAGAAACTATGGATTGGCTTCCACCTGTAGCTGTTTTTTTCCCCTCCAGAAATCATCAACTAAGTTCTTTATGATTAGTTAGGTGGGAACTGATGAAATTGCAGCAAATAAATTTATTGCACTGACAACCCTGAGAGTAGTCTTCCATGAGAGGAAATGTTGATGGGGGATTAAATCAGTTATCTGCAGCCTTATTTGCATGCTGGCCATATACAATATTAAGGCAAATAAACTAAGTCAATGTCAATCAGTTAACACTTTAAGCACTAAGTGGCTATCAATCAAAAGTAAATCAAATTTGTTTTAATTCTCCTTCATGTTATAACCTAGAATGAATACTTTCATCAGCCTTGGCTTCTAAACATTTACAGAAAAGGGTCTTAGGAATATTTGTGTTAACTCTCTGCAGTAACTCAGGGAACCATTTCTACTTATGCATTTCTTTTCTTGACAAATCCCCTTTTAACACCATCCCTTAACCTTATTAATACTCATTCTCCCTTCACTAATACCTCCTACTATGTGTTTCCTGGAAATAAAGCCTACTGTTACACCTATTTCTATTCTTTCTGGAAGGCGAGTCTGCTACCCCAAGGCAGACAACCTCCCAGTGGAGTCTTCTCTGGGGTTAGAGCTCCAAAGGTACAGATGCACAATTTAGCTTCAACTTTCAGCCAACTCACATTAGATCAAAGCAGATTCATCAGAACACTCTTGAGAAATTCTCGTTTTTTCTTTAGAAAACCCACACACCCCTCAAGCAACTGTATTTCCTGTAGAAAAACTTCAGAAATGCTCTATTTTGTGATGAACTGTACCAAGTAGCTCCTGGGAAATTCTCATCTTGCTCACAAGAGAATTGCTGCTCTCTGCCTCTGTAGCCTTTTGCCTGCATCCACAAGGATGCATCAACCCCTCTTGCCTTCACACAACCTCATGCCCTTCTCCGGCACCATGAATATTATCTTCCTCTCAGATACATGTGCAAACACCTGCAATTCTCTATGAAGACTCTTAGCCTGCTTAGCCACTCAACCCCAAACCATTTTAATCTTTTAAAAGGCAATTTCTTTCCCCATCCTATTAAGAAGCACTGCCTATGGACTCGGGCATCCTCACCCTTGTTGAAATGATCTGTTCCACTCTCTCCTTCATGTACTTGTAGCAAGCCTACACAAAAACCAGCCAAATCTATTTTCTCCACTTCATTACAAACCTATCTCTGAGTTGTCATCGTAACACTCTTAGCTAGCTACTTTTCCTTTACCCGGGCTCTAAAGAATGGCCAGTGCCTGCTTTTGCTTTCATTTCTTTCTATATGTCCTGCAACTTTCTGAAATCCCATTCCTTTTGACACATGATGCTTAGTCTTTTTAAACTGCTCCTTGGGGAAACTGGTCAGCACCCAAGAACTGTGCATTAACTGGAAAAAAACCCAAAACCAAACAAAAAACCCCCAAGTCCCAGAGGTCATATAATTGTATTAGAACTCCTTTAAGATAAAACATGACTAGACTACTACAAACCTTTACAGGAAGTTACTAAATCTCATGCCAATATTCTTGTTACAACTATTGCTTTTTTTTTTCCTCCAAAGCACTGCCAAATAAGGATAATCCAGCTGAGCTGGTTATAAAATAAAAAGGCTAAAAATTACTAAAAACTAATCATAAAATTAGCTATTTTCCTTTATTCTAATTGATTTTCCTATTAAAAAATATACTGCGAGAGGAACATATGAAACCCCTGTGAAGCAATCTTCACAAGCCTTTCATCAGTCAATTCTACCTGATCAGGAATTGGAGTATTTTAAAAATAAACTTGTGAACTACACAAAACATATATTCAGATCTGACATCCACTTTCTATTCCGGTTTTGAGTTTCATCCTTTATCCCATTTTCTGAGCTATTCACTGCATTTCTGTACTATGTGAATTTAAAAATTTACAGCTAGAACTCCCCCCACCCTTCCTCTCTGACTTAGGTATACTGTAGAGTTCAAGTACAAAATATCCAGAGTAAATAATTACTGACCTGACTAAAAGGTCTCACTTGAGATGCCACGTTCACAGTCAACATTTGGCTTTTATTTTTTCCTTCCTGCTCTAAATCCTTTTTTCAGTCATGAGTAATTCCAAGGATAAAAACAAAAATCCATGTGCATGTGACTACTTCTCTAGAATGATCTGTTCTGAGATAAAAAACCATGGCCCCAGAATGAATTTCTTTTCCAAGCTTAGTCTGTTATTAATACATTCATCCACTACATACAAGGTATTAGCTATCCAGTAAATTATTTCTTAGAGTAACTGTAGTAGTTTTTACTAAATGAAAAGTTTAATGTCAGGTTCCACCATTCTGTAGTCTTCAAAGTTGTATCCATATATAAATTAACATACATAAAAATAATCCGTTGTCTAAAAGACTGCACACCAAAATAGTACTTCCATGTCCGCTTTTAAAAAGAATAGGTTTTCTGAATTTATTTTTACAAATTGAATCTTTATAGGGACATTTATTTCATTACCCAAGATTATTTTTGAATTGTTTCATTAAGATGGTTTGTAACTAAGATTTCTGTACATTTTTGTACCTTTTCCAGACTATTATTTTAGCTTTACCATCAGATTTTCAGTGCTGTGATATGCAGGCTTCAAATATTGCAAACTATGTTCACAGACAGTAATTATTTCAATTATAGTAGCATTTCTATTATCCTCATAAAAGTAATTTTGGCTCAAATTTCAAAGTATGTGGGTAACACCCCCTTAAATTTGCTATGCTACTGTAAGCATCACACCCTCTGTAGTTAATTTTTTGCTGACAACAAATTGTAAAAAAGTGAAACATCTGAGGTGTGATCTTGTTTTATGAACTAAAGAGCAGCTTTCCCAAAGTTTTATGACAAATACAAAAAAATATTGCACAGCTTAAAATACAATTGTTTACATTCTGACTTCAATACAGTACAACAACCGTGAATGTAAGGAATTACCCCTTTACATTGTGAACCCAATTCTTTGTGCCAGAAGGTCAAATAAAATTTTTAAAATTTAAACTACTATGTTTTAAATGTTGACTCGTTAAAGGAATTCTAAGCAAACTTCTGAAAGGCTTAAAAAGCTCTGGCCTCACTTTTGAGGGTCAGCAACTCTTGCAAACCAACAGTAAGACTTCTGAGCGATACAGGCCACTCAACCACTATTCCCTCAAAAAGCTATCAGACAGTAAGCATATTTGAAGTATACATTTTTATTAACATTCCTAAAATAAGCTGTATTTACATATTATATAAATGTATGAAGTCTTAATATAAAATAGAAAACTGCATTGACTGAGGAAATCACACTCCATATGGAGTTACTTATTGAAGACCATTTGTTTATGAAATTTTACAATAATTTATATAAATTATCTCTTCCAAATTAATGATTTTTTTCTTTTTACTAATCCACACAATTTTGATGACTTTACAAACAGTGGTGTACAATATAAACTTAAAAAACAGTTACAGCATCCTCCGGCGCACAACTGGCTTTGGAAAATTAGACAGTCTTTTTTTGTTCTTTCGTAGAGTCTTCTCTGCCGTGTCTGCGGTTTCTTTCTGTTTGCTTTTTGTTCCATCCACTGGACTTCCAAATGGAGAGATGAATTTTATTTCCACTGGTGGAGGTGACCAAGAACCTTCTTTTCTTGTGGATCTGGGGGGGGGAAAGTTATCAAATTGATTTCTTATCACCAACAGTATTTAGCAGAGGAAAAAACAAACAAACATGGAAGTACAAAAATCAATGCCAAGGACCTATTCATGGGTTTTCTTTGGAGATGGGATCAAGGTAGAAAAGGTACATTAATAAGCTTCCTTTTGCTTTCATTCCTTACCAGACTGTCCCAATTATTCTCAGTCACTATTCATACCAACTTTCAGAATCCCCCACCACAGCTTTTAAAAGGCAAATACCCTCAAACAGTTTTCCAGAAAGAACCAGAAACAAGAAGTTCTCTTTACTCATTGTCTGACCTCCTCCTGCCTCGTGTGGGGAACTAAAGACCCTAAGAGTGTGGTTTTCATACAGTGGAATAGGACAATGGAAGAGTATGCCATCATTGCAAAGATCCACTTGCCCTTTTTTATCCCCTCCCTCTTCTGTTTCCATTAATAAACTAAAACGTCGACCAGAGAACAAGGTGCCAATTAGACCAGCAAGATGGGCAGGTTGGTAAAGTCAGAGCAGAATTGCTCAGCCAAGTGAGGAACAAGTTGTTAGGTGGCTAACAGCTGAATCACTACAATAAAGGAATGTAATTAAGTGTTCAAGAAGAATTTCATACTTGGTTGTTTTCTTCACTTTTGATTTTGCAGTTCTACCTCTCTTCGATTTTTGCTTTCCCACAGACTCTACGGATTTGGTATCCTCTTCCTCTTTACTTGGAAGCTCCTATGTTAAGGCAACAAAAATGTTAGTCATGCACAAGTTCTTACACTTTTACAGAATATAAATGAATGCTTCCTTCATGAAGAAGTCATGCTAAAGCTATTTCCAAAAGCATTACAGTTTCTCTCTGCAAAAACAAATATTCCACCTCAAATACTGAATTCGGTCAATAAAAAAGGTCAAATTGTGAAATTAACAGGTAACATGCCAAGTAAGTTTTAAGGAAGCCACTGTGCCTTTTGTTAAATGCAAAGTAATCCTTATTAATTCTTGATTTACACAGATTCAATATTTATTTTTGTGGCTAGTTTTCATGAAGGAAAAAAGATGTTTACCTGATTTATTTAAAACTCTCTTTTCAGATGCACTTTCAAGCAAAAAGGCAAGGCAATGCAAAGCATGATTTGAAAAAGTGATACAGAGCAAAAATCAAGAACATGAGACAGCCAGAGTTTTTACTTACTGATTCTGTCACAATTCGGGAAATGCCAGATACATTTTTGCTTCTTGACCTCAGAAGAGGGGGTGAAAAGACAAATTGAGAAGACAAGTCTGGGTCTAAATCCTTCAGCTGCACAGGATGGTCTGCTTTCTCAGCTAAAATGACAATGCATTGTTAACATGCATGTACATTATACATAAAGGAGAATGACATTAAATTGCAGCTAATAATCAAGAGCACAACAGCTTCCTGAAATAAAAGGTCTAATCAGGCTTATAAACACTCAATGTAGAGGTAATTTTCCACTCTTGGGATTCACTCTTCTACAGTAACTTGTAAAACAAAAATAAGCCAGTGTAGTGATTTTGTCTGTACTTACATAATCAAAGACATTACGTAAATATCAAACATATGTTCAAGAGACATCAACAGTCCTTACACATTTCAAAATAAAATTCTTATTATGCACTCCAATAAAAAGAACCCTTTGCACAGTAACTTCACTAACAAAGTTTATGCCCACAAAAACCAATCACATAAGTAAATGGCTGCAGTTTGTTGCAACACGCAGCTCATTTTAAGTTAAAAACTGAACAGAATTTGGAAGCTCATGAGAATTCTTTATTTCTCTGTTGGAGGGAAATGGTAACAATCACATATTAACCGGATAATCTCCAGTTTTCAAGACTGATAGAAATCAAGGTCTTGACAAAAATTCAGCTTAAATTTCATTTCACTCTACTCAAGACCATCCACTCACGTGGAGTTCAGAAAGACCTCTTTCCCAATTTTTTGGTTTGCATGGTTACATTCTTTACAATACTTAAAGCCATCCCCATAGCCAGTTTTCTGTCATGTACAAAACAGCAACATGTCTTATTTTGTGTATAAACATAGTGCACCTACCTCTAAATTTCTTTTTCAGCTTTGTGAGAGGAGGAGAGAAAAGGAAAGACTCATTTTCCTCAACTGACAGTTTCTGAGGCATGGCAGTTTTGTGGGATCTGGTTCTTGTAATACGATCTGTGGAAGCTCTTGGTGTTTCACTATATCCTGATGGGTTTGTGTCTTCAGGCAGCAAAGGACTGCCACCAGGTCCTTGGGGCAAGGCTTCCTCCCCTGTGCTTTCCTCCTGTACCGATCGCCTCTTTCTGCCCCGTCTCCCTGTCCTAACTGGAGTCCTGGGTGTGGTTGATTCCTCATTTGGCTGTGCAGGTGTTTGCTCATGAGTATCCGTTTTTTCTGGTTTAGCCTGTGGAATTCTTCTTGCTCTTCTCCTAGGAGTATCAAGGATTTCCACTTTCCCACCTGAAGGTGTGTCTTCCTGAGTGGAGATAGCTTCTGTGTCTGCCAGAAGATTCTGTGTCCCCTTCCTAGCACTTCTTCTAGGAGTGACAGGAAGTTTAAATTCTGTTTGAGGAAGCAATGATTTAGATAGATCAAGGTCAGAATTTTCTGAAACTTCTGATGAACTTATTTTTCTTCTTCTGCCTCTTTTAGTTGGCACAGGCAAGAGGAGTTGGTCACTGAGCTGCACCTCCTGATCCCTGACAGTATTTTCAGGGAACTGTAAACTAATGCTTTTCAGTTTTCTCGCACTTCTACCAGGACTGACTGCTGTTTTTATCTTACCATCAGTTTCTGGATCTCCCACTGAACTTTTCCCTCCTCTAGTCCTTTTGGGAGTAGCAGAAGCAATAATGCTACCTTTGGCAAGAGATGTTTCCTCATTTGCCTCTTCCAGGAGCGCAGATGCAGCTTCCTTTGCTCTCCTTAAACCTCTTCTTGGAGTAACAGCTGTGGACATTGTACTGACAGACAATGTTTGATCATCAGAATGGCCACTTTCTACTTTTTCTAAATTAGTTTGTTTAGGCTTACGACCTCTCCTTGGAGTAACAGGTGTCACAGGTATTTGCTCCTCTTGAGCATTTTCTTCTGTTTGAAGGCTAGAAGTCTCAGATGCTTCTTTTGTTCGCCTGGTACTTCTCCTAGGAGACAGTCCAAAGAGAACTGGTTTCTCTGTGTTCCGTAGCTGCGGATCACCTGCAGACGGAATACTCAGACTTCTCAGTTGTCCCCTGGCACGTGTTCTAGGAGTGATGACGTAATCCACTTGATGTCTGCTGGTTTCATCTTCCACTCCTTCTGGCACAGCTGTTAAGGAAGCTTTTGCCTTCTGGAATCGAGTTACCTTTTTACCTATTGTCTCATGAATAGATTGTTCCACAGCTTCAGATGTAAATTCCTTACTTCTTGTGTCTTTGATTATATCCAGTAAGTTCTCAGCAATGGCTACTTTAATGGGTTCAGGCACATACGGGAGTGACGCTGCAGTATTCTGAGATTCCTGGTCACTAGTTACAGTAGACACTGAGTTTGTAACATGCTCTTGGTTTTCAGTATTTCCTAAATTGCTCACAGGTTTTTCCTCTCTTGTGCCAGCTGCTTTAGAATCATCTACCAATGTAGGGTCTCCCATCTCCACTTCACCTTCATCTCCTTCTAAGACTAAAGTAAAATTACTCTGGGGTATAAAAAGCTCTCCATCTCCCTCAGCTGCATCGGATTCATTATCAGGCAAATCACAAGCAAACTGTTGCTCTATAGTATCACAGCTGTGTTGAAGGTTGCCTGACGGACGTAGTTCACTGTATAGGGATGTTTCAAGTGCTTCTTCTGAGGTTTGTGCCTTACCCACACTATATTCAATAACCTGAAATTAAAAAATGTCTGTTAATACATTACCAATTACCAAACAGACTAACTTCAAACTGAGCTTGATGAAACTGAGCTAGATGAAACTGAGGACAGTGAAATGCTGCTTCTCCTTTCTGATCACCCCCAAATATAAAGTCAGCAACATACCAGTACTCTCCACTACAAACAAAAGTTTATGCGTTTAAGGGTCAGAGAACAGAGTACTCAGTGTATGCAGTCACATGCTCCATTGCTGGTATTTCTGCTCCTGACTAACAGTTTGCCACCACCGTGAACAAAACAAAGCGAGCAGTTTTACAACACAATTGCACACACAACTGGCAGTAATCATCACACTGAAGTACTTTCGGGACTGACCACAAATCTACACAGTGACCACCTCTGCACCTACCCACGTTCAAGTAGAATTACGCTCCCCAAGTTTCAGTCATGATAGTTGTGACCATAACACTCAGTCAAGCTGGCAAAGTATCACATCTGACAACTCAGCACTGCACTTTACAGAATCACCTGGATTGCATGAGGCAACACATATATTCTACATAGCTCCATCTCATGTTTTGTAGCTCCCTGTACTGAGCAATTACTCTTTCCTTCTAGATCCACCTGAGATACTCAAGCTTTTATGTTGAGAACAAAAGTACCACCTGTTACATATTTCAAGTGACTCAAATGGTCACAAGAATTTAATTAGTGTGTAAACACCTTTGCCTGAGCCTCTAAGTCATAGTGCTAGCCAGCAGTGGCAGAAGGAAGAAGCCACTCCACAGCAGTCTCCATGGAATCTGCTTTTCTTGCCTCCTGCCTTGCCAGAAGTTGCTGAAGTGTCACATTATAGCAACATGCCATCCTTCAAAACTCAATTTAGGAAAGACCTGTCTGCAAAAACTTCCTTTCATGCTTACGTATCTATGAACAAGAAAGCTACAAGGAGTTTGTCCTAAATTCAGTGAAGGTGGACAAGCCAAAACCCAATGTGCATGTATAAAGCAGTAAGCACCAGTTACAAAGAAAGCAGAAAAACCTTCACTGTACTGCGACATGAATGACCCCAGAAGCCTTGTGACTGCCTCGTGTCCCTGATCCTTTCTTCCCATCAAAAAATTTATGTATTCCAAAGTCTATAATAATCTTCTCTATAGCATTGCCCTGAATCGGAAAGCCATATCGAGCTAAGTAAGTGACTACCCCTTTGACTTTATCTGAAATCTGGGACACTGAAAAGCATCTTCTGTTACTTAAGACCAATCAGTATTACTAATTCCTGTGATTATAATCCTACCAGAAATTGACAGTATCCTTCTATGTGGTACTTAGAGGACATCCACAATGAATTCAATTAACTCATCAGTCCCAGTAGAACAACAAGGGAAAACCTGGGACAAGTGGAGAATCTCCAGCTCTGACTTTAAGTCCATATGAACAGCCATTAAAAAAATTCACAGTTCACAAAGTTTAGATGTTAAAAAAGTGTGGTAAAAAAAAAAAAAATAGTAAAAAATTAAGTAGTTGGAAATACCTTGACACTGAAATTAACTCATTACTGGGAACTGTTTGTGTCAGTAAGGAATTGTTTGCTACTACAGCTCTCAAAGTCCCAAGTCTTGACAGATTCTGTTCTGTGTTACAGGTATAGAAAAACAGACTTGCACTTACATAATGAGGTTTTAACTTGTGTTAACCAGCTAAAGAAACAGAGATGTTTCTGCGTGCCTCCTCATTGTCAGGAAGAAAGGACTGCCCTCCATTTGCAAAATGTTTTCTATTTTAAACAAAAGGGGAAAATAGTTTACTTACATTCATTTCCTCAGTTTTAGGAAGATTGTTAGAAGCAGTTACTTCTTCCTGTGGAGAAGGAACTTCAGCTTCAACTTCAGTTGCTTCTAGGTTATGTTCTTTATGCAAATCCACATACTTCTCAAGGTGCCTTTCTGAATAAGCACTGACCACATCCTCACTGTCAAGGATACTTATCACAGCTGGAAAGAGATTTATATAATTATAACTTAACTGCTATATAAATGAGACAGGTTTCAGCAACAGGAAGTAACAGCGGGAGCAGCAGCAATCAACACAGTTTCCCATACTGCCACATATATTGGGCTTTCTCCAGAACTACCTATCTGGTAAAGGAGGCAACCTCACAATTAATATAAAAAAAAAACCCCAAAACAAACAAACAAACAAAACAAAACAAAAAAAAAAAAAAAAGGGAGTGGGGGGAGAAGGAAGGGGTAAAATCAGCTGGTAAGTCCACAGAGAAAAACAACAGCAGAGAAAATGGTGGCTGGAAAGGCTACTTATTCTTCACAGCCAGGATGCATCATCTTTTAAAATAGTAACTCAAGCAGCAGATGCCATAGCATGCAAATCAGCAGTGGTGTACAACAGCAAAATAGGCACTGATCTCCCCTTGAAATATTTTTAATCCTATGAGTTTTCTCAATATCTTTATCAAGAACAGGAACATTCACTATGTATTCTCTAAAAGTACTTTGAGGAAGGTGGTCTCTCTACAGATTAATGGAAGTTAACAGTAACTTGCTAGTACTGCTTCAGTCTGACACACCTGTAATGATATGGCAAACCACACATTTTACTTCAGGAATGCAGCTAGCTTAACTCACATCACATACTCCAACATACTGTACATACATTCACTGTCTGCCTCTGGAGATTCAGAAAGCTGTGGATTTGGTGCAACTGGCATGACTTCTTCTGACGAAGGGGAGGACATCTTGGGCTCCTCGTGGTTTGTTTCACTTTATGAACAGAAAGAGAGAAAATTATAAAGTTCCAAAACAAACCTTGAAGAGCTTTACATACTACTTTCTCACTGTAAAATCTTCAAGTTGCAAAACAGAAAAAACCCCACCAAAACCAACCCAGAAATTCTTTTACCAACATACCTGCTTTGAGTTCATTACTCGCTGTATGCAATGAATCAAGTATTTATATTTTTCCCAGCTATCTAACACTACATAATAACAACAGAGCTATATTAAATAATATATTGTCTTCTGTAGAAAGAATGCAATTGCTGTATTGGAGGTTTAGAACAAACACTGGCACAAACTTTTGTTCGGTAAGTTACCAGATGAAATTAAGGGTTCTTTCACTGTTAACATTGTCTTCATCACTAAGCACTTGCTAATTGAGCACACACAGTAAATAAAGATTAAGTGTATAAAAGACTGACAGGAACTCAAACCCCAAAATGAACCTACTAAAGTTGCAGTAATCTCAGGTGTAATTTTTAGCTACATAACTCTCAGACAAAAGCAGAGCGTATGTTCACAGTATGTACTTAGTAACCCTCAAACTGTAAAAAGGTTTATCTAGCCTGTTGAATGAAGTCTTTTTCATCATACTTTGGGGTCTGCAATCATTTGAGGAAAAAAGGCTCAGACTGACAGCTAATCTCTTTGATTTGATTTATATTCATGCCAAATTAGCTTTGTTCATAGACAGACAGGAATAGAAAAGCCGTTATCTATAAAAACACAGGAAAGAACCAACAACAGCTCAAAATCATAGTTTTCAAACACAGGGAAGCCAGCAGTTAGGTGTTGTGCAAACCCAAAGAGGTATCTATTTTATGAACTTACCCTTCACTTGCAGTCCCAAAAGCAGCAGCCTCAGCAGCTTTAAACACCAATTTACCATTGTCAGGAAGGGTACGACATTCAGCATTTAATTCTTCCACAAATCCTACAAAACCGGGCAGCTGGATTACTTCCCCATTGCACTTAACATAATTTGTTTTAAAACGTACAAATGATTGTAAAGTGAGCCTTTATGCATTTCACATAGGAGAGTGATCAAACAAAATATTGCTACCATGACTTCAAATGTACAGAAGACCTGAATTCTTTCCGGTAAAACAAGTAGTATAATGCATAATTTCAGTTCAGAAAACAAAATGACGTGATACTCTGTTTACAAACTAAACTTGGTATGTTACTGACTTAATACATACAAACTTCAGAAAATATCCTTCTTAATATTGGGCAGGAATTTTTCTTATTTTTCTTTGGATAATTTACCTCATTCCAGCAATGCCTCTTTCCTTTTTTGACTCCATTTCCCCTCTTCTGCAAGAATGCATCTAAGGTCTTGTCTTGTTCTTTTTTTCTGATGATTGACTGGCGGCATCAAAACCCAACTGCCTACTATCCTGTTCTTATTTCAACAGGGTCAATTTTAGAAACATCCTCCTTTTCTTCTTTGTTTCAACTGTCTGCTTCCTCCAGACCCAGAAGCAATTACCTTTGCAGACAAAGTGTTTCAAGACCCCAGACACACAACTCTGACACTTGCAGACATATCCCAGGAATAGCAAACTTTTTTTGTAAGGAGTTGAACGGACTCAGCTCTGTTTGTCAAACACTGACTGTAGCTGTGTTTGCACATCTTCTCCCTTTTCCTGCATTACTTTTCTTCCCAGCTCATCACCTCTCAACAGCTAGTGAGCCACAACTTTTCTAATGCGCCAGCAGAACTGCTCATATGAACACATCTTCAGCAGCTGGAATGCCTCGAATGAGCTGAATTTCCAAACACAACTGAAATAGGTCTGGAAAAAGCTGCATAAGCTGTTGAGCTACCAAAATGAGCAAGCACAACTGTATTAAGAAGCAGACACAGAAAGACTTACTTCCAGAAGAAAACTATTCAACTGAAAACTAATACGGTAGTTTACAAAAATAAAAAAATAAATTAAAAAAAAAAAAGGAAAAAGAGAACTATCTAGTCAAAGTACACCACACATTCAACTTGCTGAAAAAAACCCTACAGCCTACAGAAGTACCCCTAAAACATAACCAAAAGCTTAAGTTTTCAGCTTGCATCCCTCAAAACTCTCCACAAATCACTGCTGCCTCTCAGCTGCAATTATACAAGAGATGCCAGCCCAAAGCACTATTCATTCATGATATCCAGGATAGCTAAAAAAGGACTCTAAACAGTGGCAATTTTAAAGCCTAGGACAAGGAAGTGCCTAGGACACCTGTGAGGACTCACTGTTAACTGCTGCATTCATTGGAAATTTAATCTTTTGAAGACATTTGAATTAATTCAGAAACTTAGGTTATCATAGTATGAAACGCACCAGCTTCTTTCCTTAGTTCTGATGAGTCTAGTTCTTCCATCTGGAACAGTTTATCTTCAACCATCTCACTGTCTTCTTCCTTCTCCAATTCTTGAAAATCAGCAGTCTCTTCAATGGAAGAACTAGCTGGCTTAGCAGCTATAAAGATTACATCATCTTCAAAATCACCAGGTGATTTTGCATCGTGATACTCCAAAGTAGTTTGGTCTGACCTCGCAGAAACATTACTATTTTCTTTGCTGACATCCATATTCTCCAAACCATCTCCAGGTATGCTTTCTGAAGACTCTTCCATTTCAGCACCATCTTTCTCAGGATTGCTCAGAGTGAAGAGAGTTGTTTTAACTCTACTTTCAGGCCAAGCGTCCTCCACCACTCTGTGATGATGCTCAGATGAAGCTTCAGACAGCACTTTATCATCTGCAGTTACCTTAAAAAAAATTAAAATAATAAAATCAATAAATAACATGCATATGCTTTTTCAAAGCAAGACAAAAATCCACCCCAAATATATACCAATATTTGTAACTTTAAAAAGTGTCACCTTAAGAAAGGAGCTAAAAAATTAAACCTCATTCTAACACTAGCTTAGCTTTTAAAGCAGAGTATAAAAACTAATCACACTTTTGACTGCCTTTCACAGCCTTGGAGAATTAAGATGAAGTGAGTCTTCTAAATACTTAGTTCTGCTGTCATATCAAACCTGTTCATTGGGTTCACTACTATGTTTTCAAGAAGAGGGAGCTTTGCATAACTAAAATCGTAAGTCATAATTTCTCTTTTTTGCCTGCTCACCTTTTCAGGTTGCATGCATCACTACAATATTTTAGTGTACACTATGCTGATAGCACATTAGAAGTAAATGAACCTGGTCACACTGCATTTTTAGCAAGAACTTCATATATGAGAGAGTGTCTCTTGTTTCAACTGAGCAACAAGCAAGAAAAAGTACAGAAGAACTAGAAAAAGACAGTATGTTATTATATGTATGGGAAGCTCATACTAGCATGTGCCCCTGTTCAGCCCCTGATTTCGGTACATTCCTTCAACAACTACATGATGAACTGAATCAGGGAATCCAATTGGCAGGAGTAGAAGTGGACAGCTTCCAGAGGGAAACCTCTACAAATGCTTCACATGGTGCAAGGTGAGAGATAAATCCAAGAGCTTTCAGGCTAGGGACAGTCAACAGTCCAGCTCTCTGCAGCAGGAGTCTATTCCTACATGACTAAGCAAACCCAGCAACTCCAACTCTCAATCTAAGGAGCTTTGGCAAACTTAAAGAAGAGCTAAAGCAAATCACAGTCTAGAAAACCTTTAACTGTAAAAATCACTAACTACAGCCCAGCTTACCCCAACAGTCCATTTTGCACTTGAGCCCTCTTCCCTGAAGGATATTCTAGGTTCCTTTGCTCGCAGAGGAGGAGTAACTGATCGTCCTGGAGATGCAGAGGGAGTTGCTAGGGGTGTGGTGCGAAGGCTGGATCTGAGGATAGATTGAGGAGTAAACCCAGGAAAACCAGAAGCAGACATGGCCAAATCTTTAGCTCTCTATGAAAAGAAAGAAAAACATCTAGTTTAAACTCAATTCAAGTTCAAAACAGAGGACTGTACTTGTCAAACCAATTAAGTACAGGCTGAGTTTGTAGCAGCAGAGAGCACAAAGTTTTACTTCTGCACTGCTCTTTTTCCAAAGGTACAAACCCCTTACTGATGAAAACATATGCTTTTTATGTTTCTTTTGGCTTTCCTTCCCCCCTCCCCCCCCTTTTTTTAAATGCCAGCATAAAATGTTATCTTTCAAATTCCTGAAGAACAGGGATATGGCATCTTGCTGTCTGGCATCTTCTCTCCCACCCCAGGGATATTTGCAATTTCTACAATGCTTTTCCCAAAGCATACACTAACTCCAAATGCTAGCCCAGATGCAGTAACTAAACACATGGTCATGTGCAATGGCAATCAGCA